TATATATATATATATATATATATATAACTTTATAGTAGCAAAATGTGATTCAAGAGAATAAATATCACTCCTAAATACCAACACTTGGATGTGCAGAAAACCACACTAATTGTCATTATCAGCCACTGTAAATTAATAAACAGCCTTAGTCATGCTTTTGGAAAGTATCACCATTATCAAGTCCCTTATCATTGTAATCTACCTTCTTCCCCTCCCCTACATATTTTGTTCAAGTGAAAAGACAATTTGCATAATTCAGAAAGAATTGCCATGGCTGCACTGTCACAAACAGCGTTGCCTAATTCAAAAAGGTCTGGCATCCATTGCCATCCACTGTTTGCAGATAAGGAGCTTGATGGATAACAAAAGGAAGCAGTTTGCAAATGAAGAGGGTCAAGATGGAACATTATCTCAGTTTTTATAAAAGGAAAAGGAGGAGCTTCTGAAACTGGAAAGGGGTAATAATAAAAGAATCGAGAAATTAGTAGCAAGGAAGAAATGGAAGAAGGATTGCCAAATATTTATTTGGAAATGTTAAGAGAAAAAGCTGAAGGCGATGCCTCTTTGGATGATGAGAAGAATGATTATATAAGGTTAGAAGAGGGGATCAGGATGAGGATTTGTTTTCCAATGAGTCACTGTGTCTTTAGTATTGCCCTATTGTTACAATCATGAGATTGAGACTTAGATGAATGTTATGAATTTTAGTTTTATGTTGCTTTTGACACTTCTACAGTTTTTTTTTTAATTTGTATGTGTGTGCATATGTATAAACACATTGTCAGACAGGGCTTCTGCCATCCAATGAGTCACTGTGTCTTTGGTATTGCCCTATTGTTACAATCATGAGATTGAGACTTAGATGAATGTTATGAATTTTAGTTTTATGTTGCTTTTGACACTTCTACAGTTTTTTTTTTTTTAATTTGTATGTGTGTGCATATGTATAAAAACATTGTCAGACAGGGCTTCTGCCATAAGCCGTTATGCCAACCACTCTATGTGGCGGATTTTTTGGCTTTCTGTCTCCTTTTGCAATACAAATCATAAATTGACTCAAAAGTAACCAGTATTAGTAAATAGCCATAATTTGAGACAACAGAAAGGGAAATTTGCAACAATTGTGAGGACACACCAGCTTAAATGATTCTGATAGAGACTCCACTGATGTGTATGCCAAATAGAGAAGGGCACTTTTGTAGAACTCAGCAAATTCTTGGCGGGTCTTGTGGTATTGAGATGATACCCAGTAATAGTTAGCATATACAGATGGATCAATATCTGTCATGCTGTCAAGTGTAGTCTTCCCATCTTCCAGGAGTTTCTTGCATTCCTTCTGGTCACCTTGCTCAAGCTTGAATATTGCTATTTGCATCTTAATGTAAAGAATCGGTTCTTCTATGCGCTGCTCTCTAGTGGCCTGCAACTTCTCAATGACCCCTCCAAGATAACCAACAGCAGCTTCCTTTTCAGAATACTGCCGAGAAACTATAACAGCAAAATGTGCAAGCTTCAGAAGGTTGATTTTAGTCTCGAAGTCTGTGATGAAATTGTGATATAATTGAATCAACGCATCACCAGCCTGAAAATTTAAGTAATAACCATTTATGAAACAAAAGAAATATAAATTATAATAAGACTACACACGCATACCTGAAATGAGTATTTGTCTATATGAGAAGCAGAAAGAACTAGCAATACGCACAAACTAACATAACGAATGAATCATCCATAATCGTTAATGGTTGAGTACCATGAATAAACTTGAATAAACTTGGTCTTACCTTCTGGCTGCTTCCAGCCAATGATGTGATATAAAAGTTTGACAGGTTAATGACCTAAATATTTGATGCAAAGATCCCGACTCAAAATAATGCCACCGAGCATGCAAGGGGGGAATTACCATTTCAACCTCTTGATTGGCATCGACAGAATAAAATTGCATTCAGTTTAATTACTTAAGCCATTCCCAAATTTAACAGAGCATGCTTGATCTTGTTTGAAGTGAAACATCCACATTCAGTCCAATGTGGCTAAAGTTCCATTCCATCCTAACGACACTGCCCTCTGATCTTCATGGTCCTTGACTTACCAATCTCATGATCCACACGTTATACCACTATATACCAGGTCGCTAAAAATCATCACTCACCACTCTCCTCAAAATCTAAATAACTAAAACCATAAAACTGGACTCCAAATCAGGTCCCCAAAAATTCACTTTCCAGCAGAACCCTAATTTCACAAATCCCACAGCTCAAAGATTTCAATCCTATAACAACCCCGTCCACGTGCCCCGCCCAACATCTTCCATACCTAACGAAATCCAAACGCAATCCCTGTGAAAAAAGTTCCCATCTTTCCCACCGTTCCAAACACAACAATTCAAGCCCCCCAAAACAAAACCCTAACAGCAGCACAATCACTCTCTCCAGACAACATCACCCCTAACTCCCAAATCAAGCTCAAACCAACAACTACACACACAAAAACAAATTAAACCTAAACCTAACAATTTCTGAAACAAAACAAACCGAGGTACAGTACAGCTTTCCATCAATTACGAGTGCAAAGAGCGAAATAAAAAATGAAGTCAAGAAGAAGAGTGGAACCTGAAAAACAGCGAGTGCGACAAACTGCTCGAGCTTGAGGGTGAGTTGATGCCAGAGCTTCTTCTGGTACAGATCCGCGAGCGAATTGTACCATTCGGCGAGCTCAGGGTGCGCGTTGCGCAGCGATTCCAAGTATTGCAGAGCAGCCATTACGATTGACGCAAGAGAGAAACCCAAAATCCGAAATAAAGAAACTTTATACTGTGCCCTCTTATTTCTTCTCTATTTATACCCTTCTTCTTTATTTTTAAATTTAACAGTTACTTTTCTCTTTCCTCTTTTACTTCTTCTCAAAGAAATGTATCGGGCATGAGTTGGGTTAGATCAACATTGTTGCTTTAGGAAGTCAATTTATTTGTGCATTTTGTAATTTTCTTTATATAAAAATCTTTATTTTACCTTTTTATTCTTAAAAATCAGGGATAGAAAAAAAATCATATATATTAAATTTGAACGTATAAATAAATAAAATTGAATAAAATAAATAATTGATAGTCGATTTCGAATAGTAAATTAAAAATGTATGAATATTCAATCTAAATTTATATTTTAATGTTTATAAATTTATAAATATATTTTAATTTTTAATTTTTTAATATGATAATATTTTGTTAAAATTTAATAAAAAGTTACATAAAATTACAATTCACTATAATAATTATTATTAATATGTCATTTTCTTTTTAAAATTTACTATATTTATATAATTTATTCAAAGTTTAATCATTCTTACAGTCTCTTTCTATATTGGCTTTTTTAAATAGATCCTTTTCTTTCTTCTTCTTTTTTCAATTAGGTGGAATTATTAATTGACATGGCAGATGCAAGATCATATTAAGCTGAGTTATCACCATATTCTGTCACGTCATCATCTTCAACCTTTCCCCAAATTGAAAATCCTAGTCGTCCATGGCAACCACGGAAAAACATCAAATTCAACACCTAGAAAACACAAAAACAGTAGCAACCTTTAATCGCGATCACCATCATCGTGAATCCCAATCCAGAAAACAAAAACTCAAATACCAGAAAACCCAATTGCGACGCCCTAATCGCAAGTCTATTTATTATTGCACAATATTGAACCACTCGCGACAACCATGGCAAACCCTAGAGTCCAAAACTCAGGCCATCGTGATGCAATTGTGAGCATGAGCAACTTCATCGCGAGTAACTCGCACTTCATCACCATGCACACCAACAAGGAAAGCATACCAAAAAGCGAAACCATGAACCCTGATCGAGTTCTCTAATTCGTACATCCAAATCGCGAACTCCATGGAAACCCAAATCCCTTCGTATTTTTCGCGAACCTACAAAGAGAAAGTCAAGCCCCAAATCGCAACAACCAAAATTGCAGCGCTGCCGTCAGCAAACACCATCTTTATGCAAACTCCTTCATGGCACAAGCAACCCTCGCACAACCTTCAACCTGCAAATGAAAAACAAGACCAGACCACCACTAAATCATAGTTCCACCACTCCGAAGGGCTACCTGAACGCGAATTTAGTTTTCAAAAACCTCATTCCCAATTTGGTTTTCAGGAACCCTAATTTCATCATTCCTAAATTCAATTTTCAAAAACATAACTCAGCTTAATTTTAATCATGTTAACCAATTTAATGATAGCGACCTAATTACACTGATTTTTCACCTTTAGAAACTTAATTGAGAAAAAAAATATGAAAGAGATTTATTTGAGAAAACTTAACATAAATAGGAACTCTTAGAATGATTAAACATTTATTCAAAATAAAAAAAGTTATTAAAAGAATTTAATTTAATATAAATTTATAATCTGAAAAATTTGACCAATAATAAAAAATTGATTAATTCAATAAATTAAATGGTCACGTATAAATTTTAAAATATTAAATTTTGATTATATTGGATAAGTGGATATAAATCTAATTCAACTTTTCATCTTCACCATTAATGAAAATAATAATTTCAAAATGATGTGATATGAATTTTTTTAGAGTGAGAAAAACTTTTAGATTGTATAATTTTGATTTTTTTTAAGTATATAATTTAAAAGTTATATTTTATATTAAAAAATGGAAAACAGAGTTTAAATGTCACTTCTTTTGTAAATACAAAAAAAGTAAAATAAAATAATAATTAAAAAACTTTAAAATTGTAGGTGCTTTTATGTCTTTTACATAGAGGTGCACGAAATAACCATGCAAGTGTAAGAAGAAATATATCTTTCTTCTTAGGAAACTATCTAACTTGGGCTTTGTGCACCTTGGTAAGATCTAAGGTACTTTCTTCTTGTATTTCAAAATTTTCTTCTTACACCTTCAAATTTTATTATGATTATAATTTTATCCTTTAAAATATATAAATAAAATATAAAATAAAATAGGTAAGCAGTAATTACTCCTTATCAAACATATTTACTGTGATGAAGTCTTATATTTATTAACGAACTTGCACTCCAAGTCATTTTGGAATCAACGTATTTTCTTTCTTCTTCTCTTAACACCAACATTCAACTTCTTCTCCTTTGTCTTACTTCTCTTTCTTTCATCTCATCTCGTTCATCTTCGTTTAGGTACATGCATGTATTTGTTTTTGTTGGTTATAATCTTCGATTAGCTTCGATTAAAATTTTATATTTATTTTTATTATATTTTGCATGAATCTCGTTTTTTTAGATAAAGTGATTATTATTTTCTACCGTTATAAAATAGGTTATATTTACTAATTTTATATTAACAAATTCATTTACAAAAAAGTTGTCTTTTACCGGTGATAGATATCATATCGTTTATCCATCGTTACTTGAGGCTTGGGCATGGTCATATTCTTATGTCAGTAGGATTCAAGCATTTGTAGAGTTGATGAACGTCAATACTGATTATGTAGACTTGCACCAGGACTGATATTTGTGTTATGTAAACAGATTATACAAATGAAAATATTAATTACGAAATTGTTTAATTACAAACATTATTCTGAAGTTCAAAATAGTGATATACATAATAAAAACATTGTTAGCCAAATGATGATAAATGTTTGTCGTGTACATTGCGACATCCTCTACTGTTGGGTGTATGTTCTTCAAACGACGCACGAGCTATCTATAATGTCTCATTAGTCCGATCCCAGACTACAATGTCCTCACTCACACCACGACAATCAACCATCATTTGTAAGATTGTCATAATGCGTTTGATAAAGGCCTACAATGATGATAAGAACAAGTTAATTAACATTGTTTAATATCATAAACACATAAACATTGTACTGTTACATACCAACATACCAACATACCAACATACCAACATACCAACATACCAAATTCTGACTCCAATCACTTGCGAATTAGAATGCCATTTGGAAGATGTTGATGAAGTCGAGGTATGAGACTCGATCGGTCGTCCTCAGAAGCAAAAGAAATATAAGGTTGGGATACCTTTCTGAACCACTAGAGATATCCCTCAACACATGTAGATGGAGAGGACGTCGTTGGGACATTCACTAATATTAGCACAAAGCTGAAGAGATGAAGTTTTGATGATGCCTCAAAGTCAAGTCTCAAGTTCTCTTGTCACAATAAGATCTTCATGAAGACTTGTTTTGTGTTAAAGCTTTTGTAATGTAGTAGTTTGATGTATAGGATGTGGTTTATCTTTGATTATATGTATTGTTTGTCTTAGGTTGCGTTTAAGTGCGTTTTGAATCAAGAAAACCTCATTTTATACTCAAGATAATTGATTACAAACTAACGATAATCGATTATCACGAGAAATTATGAGACTTTTAAGCAAGCTTTTGACCATTGTGCATTCATTAATGCATAATCGATTACCATAAGTGGATAATTGATTATTACACATTAAATAGCTGACAACGAATTTTTGGAGATATCCTTGAGTGAGATCTTTATAAATTAGATTTAGACTCTAATTCTAATATACGAAATAAGTTTATTTTGAATTTCTTATCTACTGTGTGTTGTGATAAGTGTTTTAGGGTTTGTGTAACCCTTGTGTTGTGGCTTTAAGAACTTGGTGTTGGCATAAAGCGAGAACTTTCACTAGGAGATTGATTGAGTGTTGTTGTTGTTGTTGCTGAGTCGAAAGTTTGTCATCCTTTGTGAAGATTCAAAGGATGTGTTCATCCTTTGTGAAGATTCAAAGGAGGTGGTCATCCTTCGTGAAGCATTCGGAAGAGGTGTTCATCTCTTGTGGGTAAAGGGAAAGTGAGTTTCATCTCTTGGGGTAACAAGAGAAATGTTTTAACCTTAAACAATTTTATTTCTTTGTGATTGTAAAAATTTGTTGGTTTGTGATTAACAATTGGATGCAGGATCTATGTGATCCGAACCAGTATAAAAATCACCTGTGCAATTTTCTCTCTTCCTTACTTTTTAATTCATTTAAATTGTTTTTAAGGAATTTATATTTTTACGAGAAATTATTAAAGATATTATTTGCGATAAGAAACCAGTTCACCCCTCTAGATTTGTTGAACGCGCTAACCATTTCGCTGCACCGCTCTAACAACCTACACGTGCTCAGTGAAGCATAACCAAAATTATCAATTGTTGTTAAGTCAGTCTCTAGAATAACATTTAGCAATTCCAAGATAAGATGCTTATACCCAAATTGTTTTAACACACATTCAAACAAATGACGGTGTACAATCTCAACCACTTTAATTTAGCCAAAGAATATATCGATTGCTAGATGTGGATGACTAATTTGATGTGATTCACATGGGTCCAGATCACCCCATCATATGTTAAGGCATCCAAATGTGTCTTGGTCTAATGTAGGCTGGAAAGTTGTCTCTTTGTCAGAAAATGTGTGGCTTGAGGCATACCATCATCATAACTAGCCAAAAACTGCTTCCTTCCCATCCTAAGAAAGTCATCGTATATCCAACTCCACAAAAAATTAAAAATATTCTTCAATAATTAAATAATAATAAAGGAAATCAAAGTGTAATATATATTTGTACCTGTAAAAGAGTCATATATCAAACTAATTGTTTTGTCTCTACAATGCTAGTATCTTCAAGTTGCTCGCACAAATAGGCAAGTGCAACAACTCTTTAGATATATTTGTCACATGACTGCAGTCTTTGAAGAGCATCAAGTACGATACATGAATGAATGTGATGCTCTTATCCGTAAAAATTGTGTATCCAACAAAATTCAACAAATAGGCTCGTGTGACTTACTCCCATTAGGTTC